TTAAGTCTCTTTAGTATCTTCGTTCTTTTCTTTGAATTTCTAAATTTTTACAGCACATTCTATTTCCGATTAATACATACTTTTTTTTCTATAAAGTACATATAGTTTTTTTTATCTAAATTTTCATGGCATATTCTTTATCTAGATTTTTTAGCACATTTAATTTTCAATAAATTTTTTTATATATAATTTTTTTTTAGTGTATATTGATCTATCGATAGATTACGCACCTTATCTGACGATCTGCATCTGAGGAGCATCAGTTGTGATCTGAGGCAAGCATTAGTCTGAGGCACAATATATATATACAATATATATATATATATAGTATATATATTTGTTATATATATATACAGTATATGCAATTTTTTAAATATATAGTGTAATTTTAAAAGGTGATGCAAGAACTTTGTATAAATCATAGCGTTATCAAGATCGTGGCCTTTAATAATTATTTCAGGCCAAAATACATATCAATAAACTAGAAACCACACCTCTCTATATTAATAGAGATGTTAATCGACTCAAACTGCTTGTATATTTTTTAACGGTTATTTAATTGAGTCAAGTCGATATATTAGTTATAAAACTAACTTTATTTTGCTACGTACATGATAAAGAGAACAAAATTTTACCAAACTTAGACGACAAGAACAATTTGTTCTACATTGTATTATCAGCGTGTATTGTCTTACGACCTTTGTAGCATCATAAAATATGTCAAACCTTAAAGTTTAACATGTTTCCCACATATCAAAAAAAAAGAAAAAAAAATTTGCACGATATATCAATTTTATAATTTTTTTACATTTATTTATAGCCTTTATTTGCACTATTTTTCTACATATCTATTAACTACATTTAATAATGCAAACCTATCTTGCAACCCCAAAGTTTGATAAAACATTCTGTTATAAAGAACCAAGTTCAATCTATCACTATTTTTGTAATGCTTTCGCTTATAGATGAATAGTTCAGACTAAAAATCCTAACTACAATCATGAAATTTTATTTCGTAAAGTGAACAATGAGTGGAAAAAATACAAAAACATTCAAAAAATTATTGATGAGTTTAATAATACACCAATCCCACTACAAGGATTTTCTGTTTTATATACAAGACACTTGGCTAATTCACAGGTGGATACATTGATTCAAACAGTCCAATTGCCAACCCAAGAGCAACCTGAAATGCCTCATACAAATGCTCTTGCTCAAAAAGAAACTTACAACCAAATAAAAGAAGCAAAAAAAAAATTTTTAGAATTTATTTCTCTTTATAGTACCACTAATGATTTTCAACTTCATCGGAACCTTTATGGATGTATCAAAAGGTTAAAAAATAACCTTGAAGAAAAAAAAAATAAATTGAATGAACTCAAACGGAATGCAAGTTATCAGCAGAAATGCAGATTAAAAAAAAAAAATCCATTTAATGAAAAACAATAAAGTCATAGTATATGATCGTGCTGGCTATCCCCGGTTCTTTTTAAATATCCTAACCTTCTTGAACATATTCATAGTTCAATCGAATTTGGTAAGGCCGATGCTAAAAGAAGAAAGGAAGCTATTAAAGTTCGATCAGTAGCATATTTACAAGAAGAGCTGAAAAATAATTATAATGAATACTTATCTATGACTACACTTCGTAATCATATGTTACCAAATAATAGAAATTCAATTGCAGCCAGAGCACATCACCACCCTGCGATAGTAGGGATTGCTAATATTTTCAGAAATGAAAAAAAAGAGTATATTGATTCATATTATTGTTTAGCCTCAATAAAGGCATCAAAATCATTCGCAAGCATATTCCCTAATGTAACTGTAATAATATTCCAAGATGATAAAGCTAAAGTTAATGTTGGTATACCTGCTGTAGGGTGTATATTTCAAACAGTACAATCGCTTGTTGAGTCTGTAGAAGTAGAAGATCATGATTTCCCAATAGGGTGTTTCAGAAATTAGTTCCAAGTGTATATTTGATGATCAATCTGGCCAATTCAAATAATACAATAAGGGCAGGACAACTTGCAATATATGTACAACCCCAGTGGTATCTTGGCACAATTTCTTCAACACACATGCAGGATTTGATCAATCTTGCATCAATGAGAGAGTATTATGAAATCTTCAAAATCAATGACAATATCAAACCAATTTGGATAATCCTAGTGGATGGAGGTCCTGACAAAAATCCAAGATTTCTCAAAAATATATATCAGTATTGCCGCCTATTCAAAAAATTTGATCTCGACTACCTCACTATACGTACCAATACTTTGGGTCAATCTGCGTTTAATCCTATTGAAAGAGCTATGGCCAGCTTGTCTACAAAACTAGGAGGTGTTTTTTTTCACATAGATATGTTTGGCAACTATCTTGATACCCAAGGTAAAGTTATAGATAAGGAACTTGGGCTAAGAAACTTCTAGCATACTGGTAAAGCTTTGTGTACCATTTGGCGGCATGATAAAATTTTTGGTAAACCTGTTTACTGTGAATATATTGATGAATAGCCAATGCCTTTTTTGGATATTGTTTTTGAAAAAAATGCACATGATAGTGAGGAAATTAATGAAGATAAAAACCAAGACAATAGTAAAACAGATGAACTAGTTCCATGGGCTTAGATTAAAGAGCATGCACAAATGTGCAAATATTTATTAGATATAAAAAAATGTTCAAATCTAGTATGCTGTTCACAAAAAAAAGCTCTTGAAATTGCCTCTTTTCTTGAGCTAATAAATGGTTTTCTTCTACTAGTAATTCTAGGCAAAGACAACCATTTTTTAAACCCGATATATACAGTGCAGTATCTAGACTCAACAAAATCAATGAAATATGACAAGCATTGCCCATCGATCAGTACTGAACAATATGAACAACTCACATACCAAATATGCAAAAAATACTTTTCCACTTATGTATTTCTTAAAAATTACAGGCGGTTTGCTCACCCAGGCTATTCCAGTAAAAAGTATGAATTTTCAAAATGATTCAATACCTAAATATTCATCAAGGATCAGACTAATAGTTATCAATTACCATGTCTAAGTGCATTAGGTGCAAATTCATCCACCGCAAAGCCACCCTAATAACAATTTTTAAAAAGTAACAAGTAAATAACAAGTAAGTTTACATCATTAATTTAATAAAGAATTTAACATATAGACCCTTAACTGATAGTTTGGCCTGATATTTTGAACAGAGAACTGAATTACATACACTGTTCCCAAATAGTATATCCATAGTAGAATCAAATTCAATTAGTTGGCAAGATCGACCTTTAATGGGTGAATCGGAAGTAGTGGCTGTTTTAATTTAGGCCTTCAAATTAGAATAAGTTTTACATAGTAACCTTTAATTGGTACCTTTTTCTTGTATCCAAACAAGTAATACAGATGACCCTCATTAATACCAACTTATTTGAATTGCTTTTATATTCATGTTGTTAGTGATATTAGCAAGGGATCATATTAAAAGTTGATATATATAAGGAAATTTTTAATATAATTTTAATATACAGTATTCATTTTATATCTTATATAGGTTGATATTAATAGTATTAATATTAATGGGGTCCTCTGTATTAGATTACTAGAAAATATTAATCGATCTATAAATATTAAGATTTTTATATTTTTTATAAATCAAAAATAAAAACTTTAGCATTTATTTTGTCTACATTTACCGTAATACCAAACACATAACTAGAGTTTATTTTTCATATGTATTAATCGATTTGACAAAACTGGTTCTAGTGTTTGGTCATTTGTGATGCTGATTGGCTGATTAGATAACTTGTGCTATATAAGACACCGTTGACCCTCCTCCCCCTATATAATATTATGTAATATCTGCGACTCCCCTAAAAATTTTTTGATTATTGTACTTATAAACTATTATAATAACATAAGTGATTTAGACAGAGTTATATTAGTTTTGTATTCGAATGATTATAATTTTATATCGATTTGCTGTAAAAAATTGTTACAGTACTTACCAACTATCATGTAAAATAAGAAATTTAGAAAGAATTAGTTTGTATTAGAACAATCATTACTTCTATAATGATTTATTATAAAAAAAATTTTATTACTGTATTTACCGACTATTGCAATAACATAAATATTTAGACAGAGCTATATTAGTTCTGTATTAGAATGATCATGATCTTTATAGTAATTTAAAAAATTCTGTTATCATATTTGCTGACTAATATAGTAACATAAGAAATTGATTATGTTAGCTGTATTGGAATAATTGTAACTTCTATCTCTATTAATATACTTACCAACTATTGTAGTAATATAGACAGAGTTGTATTAATCGGAAATAGAATGTGCTGTAAAAATTTAGAAATTCAAAGAAAAGAACGAAGATACTAAAGAGACTTAA